ATATATAATGTTACGCCAAGTGAAACTATCGATCACTGCGATTGGATGCCATGCAGTGGCTAGTAGACATTCGATAGGTACGTACGTGTCAGAATGTAAGTCTGACTGCGCATGCTCAAGTACAGGTGCGCATGAGAGTGCCGTTTTTATAGTGATGAATGTTGTGTCTGTTGTATGTTGTATAGGCTACCGCATGGTCATGTGTATAATTGATTATTGACTAACATCGTTCCTATCCTGTTCTGCGTAGGTACTCTTTGCGAAATTAATGTGAATGAATGTCAAAGTGACCCATGTGTTAACGGCGGCACCTGTGAAGACCTGATCAACTCCTTCAACTGCGCATGTTCGCTTGGCTACACAGGTATCGTCTCAAGATACTTAAACTCTACTCTTTTTGAGTAATATTATAGTGGTTAAATAACAATGTTATTGTGAAACTTTAAATATTAGCAGGTTAGAAATAGCATATTTATATTTTGTTGGGCCTCACACACACCTATACCATCAGCCAACGATACAATTTCCGCTCTCTGATGTAAGCGCTTGTCGACGCGACGCGTCTGCTGACTACTTCGGTAGTCTGAGCCAATCGTCATTAAAACCGATCCGTAGTGCGCGCCTCGACATGTGTTATCACGACTAAAAAACATCTCCACTACTAATAAAGTAACTCGTAATGAAACCTAGTTTAGGAATTGATCTATCTTAATATTATTTCGATTATGTATATTAAAAGAGCCATGAATATCACCTAAGCTAAAGGGAAATATGCCCTAAATATTATCTAAAAAACCATGTATGCGCAGTGTGTGCTCGGCTTGATTGGGGTCTTAATTCCATGCATAACATTTTTATGTATTGCTGTTTGTATGACTTTCATTTTATCTTGTTCTTTCGATACGACTTTAGAATGGATTAGGCCTAATAACCGATATAACATTAATAGGCCTATCAAAAGTTTAATGCTTAAAACACCCGTACATCCAAGCATGAGCTTTGCAATATCAATAGCGCCTATTGACGATCTATCGGTCGATTTTTCTTTAAAACAAGGCTCCGGTGGGACGCAAAAAGCACATTTGACGAAAACTTGCAAACAGTTGATGAAATACAGCTTTTTGAAAACTGCACTGTAAAAACAGCGTAGAGCATTTAAACACAAAGCTCCACGCAATGTTGTCCCGTTTTTGGTGACACTGTTTAGGTCCGGCCTAATGTGTTTAGATTTCTGACGTGTTTAGCATTAGATGTGATTAGGTATTTGACATCATGGTATCAAATACCTAAGCACATTTAATGCTAAACACGTCAAGATCATAAATACATTAAGCTATGTCTAAACACGTTCAGCTTTTAAAACGTGTCACCAAAAACGGGACAACATTGCGTGGAGCTTTTTACGGTGTGGGGTGGGGGAATGCTGTTTTTACAGAGTGGGGTGGGGGGATTGGTGGGAAAAGGGTGGTTACGCTCTTGTACAACATATTAAAACAACAATTTTTTCCACCGGAGCCTGGCTTTAAAAACATTTCAATACTTTTTTATGAAATTTAATCCGGTATTTCATTTACAATTACATGAACACACGAAATGTTTCGCGTAGTACAAATGGAAGGAGGCCATAATTATGGGGTGCCATACGCAGCAAAAGTCCATGTTAAAATCAAAATGTAATTGCAAAATTCAATGTCTGATTTATCAAAACGTAGGCGTAAATTTCTCAAAATGTAGATCTAGTTTCCCAAAATGAAGTTCTAATTTTTGAAAACGTAGTTCAAATTTTCCAAAATGTAGTTCTAATTTCTTTAAAATGCAATTCAAATGCCGAGCCCTATGCTTGGCATTATAGGCCAGGCTTATGTGGGTTGGGATTTGCAACAAGGTCTTGGACTAGGCGTCTATACTATAGTAGGAGGCCTGGTCCTAGCTTAGGCCTATAATATAGTAAAATTCTGTATAAGTAGTCATATGATTACAGGTTTACATTGTACCAAGATCGATATTAACGATCGCATTTATTTTTCATTGAAAATAAAAAGAAAACTTATAATTAACTTAGGGGTCATCTATTATTTTCATCATTTTCACGAGAGTACAAAACATATTCTTTTTGCTAACCTACCCCCCCCCCCCTGTGAAAGAGCACATGATAAAATGATTATTTTCTTCCAGTGTTTTATAGCGATACAGATATATATATATATATATATATATATATATATATATATACATATATATATAGTAGTCTTTGTCAACGCTTGACATAAAGACTTTTATATGTGTATGTATATATATATATATATATGTATATATATATATATATATGTATATATAAATATAAATCAAGATAGCCGTTAACACTGTTAAATTATATATAAATCATCAAAGAAAGGTAAATACAGTGTTCGATTAAAGGACATAATAGTACATTGTGTAGCATAGCTCTCAACGAATATAGTCCTGTAAATAAATGAATAAAGAAATTGTGTAATAAAATGCCTTTGGCGGGACTCGGAGCCGATGTATTATTATGTCCTTTATTCGAACACAGTATTTACCTTTCTTTGATGATTTATATATAATTTAGTGGCCCTTGGAGCAAATTTTAAGAATAGGCCCCTCTGGACGCTCGGAAATGGCACTCTCGGACGGTAAAAATGCTTTTTCAAAGCAGTGTTTCTCTACAAAATTATTGACTTCCTCCCGACGCAGTTATGCTCCCTCGTATGCTCCTCCTCTCTTAGACACCCCTGGGGCGGATGAAGGATTTTGGCGGTAGGGGGTGCGTGAGGGTCCACCTCACTGCCCCCACCATGGTTGGGGCTGAGGGAATAGACAATTTTGAGAATAGGGACCTCTCAGGAGTTGATCCAGAATTTTAGCTCGGTTTCCAAGAATCACTCACCCTATCGCCGACAGTCGTGTCAGTTGTGGTTCACAGACGATGGGCAAGGCAGCAACGCACCCTGATTCGTCTGCGTCTGCAACGCATTCGGAAAAGTTGAACCAGGTTCAACCTTCCCGATAACTGTCGGCAACTGTCGCCGATAGGGTGAGCGATGTGTTCCCTGAGTGGGCGGGGTCATGGGAGGAAAACCTGGGGGGGGGAGTGCAGTTAGTCTTGGGGTTCTCCTAGCTTCGCAGAGTTTTGTTTTTTCTAGATGCTGAGAAATGCACTTACGTGCATTACGAGACTTCTATTGATGAATGAATACACACTGAAATGATAGATTTCCCTCATTTTAGCATGGACAATTAATAATTGCGATGATGAAGATGATGATGATAATGTGATGATGATGATGATGATAAGGAGAAGAAGGTATTGTAGCAGGTGACGACAGGCTCCTGTGATTGGTTTATTAACAGGCCCTTTGATATGAGTGTCAACCGAGGGTCGTATCCCGAGTTCGTCATCACATTTTCAATGCACACAATCGGACAACAGTAATTATCTATAGGTTATATAAAGATGTGTATAAGAGACAGAGGTTATATAATCAGTACATTCTCGACTGTCATGAAAATATACATCTAAAAAATTACGTTATAGGCATGCTCGGAAGCGGAAATTTTAACCTAAAAGTTTGATATAGGCCCTATGTTTCATGTTGTTTTTTAAATGGTCTTTAGTGATATTATATTCTAATATGACCACAACATAAGGAAGAACACTTTGTCACCTACAAAGTTCAGACCCGTATACATTTATATTTCCTTAGGCCTAAATCATAAGGAAGTCCGCTCTATATCCAAATTTCAGGAAATTATACGTTTTATGTATGCACCGACGTGGGAATTTTGTTTTATGTTGTTTGCTGAATGGTTTTCTTTAAAAATATAACAGTCTAATATGACCACAACACAAGGAAGTTCATTCGTTAAATGTTTAGGAGATATTACAGAGAATTATGATTGTTTATCAAAATCATTATATAAAGGGTCGATGGCCTGCGGATTTTAGCACGAGAACGCGTAGGCGTTACTCCATGCTGAGCATGGATAGCTGTTCTATAGCTGGGTACTACATTCCGGCTAAAAAAAAAACTCTGTCTTTAGGTCTCCGCCTTTTGGCCTTTTTACATCCTGATTGATGCGTCGGGGATAATAGCGTTGTGTTCGTTGACAATCAATAGAAAATTCAAAATTAGTGAGTGGTAAAATAATCGAGCTCTCCTTTCGCCCTCTGCCTGTCTCTTATACACATCTAGATGTGTATAAGAGACAGGTGTTATAGGTTGTAAAAACTCAATGAAGTAAAAAAAAAAAAATCTTTCGAATAAAAAAATCTTTCGCTTGACATTAGGTGTGTTTATTGAACAGTCGCAGATTCAAGGGGGAACCCAGTCAGCTATGGGGTGCCATACGCAGCAAAAGTCCAGTTAAAATCAAAATGTACTTGCAAAATTCAATGTCAGACAGCGTACGTTTTGTACGCGCGTGAAAATGATGAAAATAATGGATGACCCCTTAAGGATTTTAAAATATTCCAAACCTGTACGCTTAAAAAAAAATAAATAAAATAAAAAATAAATAAATAAAGTTAACTTAAGACACAAACAACACGATAGGATATAAAGTTTGAGAGAATAATTGGTATACTGTACTGTATTTCTGAAGTGCCATTCTTTTTAGGGTTGCTACAATCAGGAGTTACAATCGATCAAACAAAGGAAAAGCACTACGGTATCTATTTCCTTACATTCCAAAAAGGAGGATTTTGGATGCTATTTAAAATTTGCTGGAGATTGAAAAATTAACTGTGTGATCAATCTGCAAAACAGATTGATCACAAAATCAGAAGCATGATTTCAAACATCAGAACCATTTCAAACATCAGAACCCAGCTTTTATTGTTTAAAACTGTCGGGCCCCATTGAATGAAACTACGGTATTATAGTTTATATTATATTTTGTTTAAACAATGTCGGGGGTGGGGGAGGAGGAGGCCCTCGCACTTGGGGCCCTGGCGTTCCCCCTCCCCTCAGTCAGCGCCCGAGACGCCACTGATGTAACAACTGCTGATTGTAGCAACCCCAAAAACGAACGGCGCTTCAGAAAATACAGTACAAGTATACCAATTATTCTCGCAAACTTCATATCCTATCGCGTTGTTTTTTATTGAAGTGTACAGTTTTTTTTGAAAATTTTAAAATCCTTAAGTTAACTTTTTTTTAAGTTTTTTTTTTTATAATTTTCAATGAAAAATAAATGCGATCGTTAATATTGACCTTGGTACAATGTAAACCTGTAATCATAATGACTACTTATACAGAATGTTACTAACAGGCCCACGTCATGCTTGGCTGATTAGTTTTGATTTACATTTCGCAAGTCTAGTGCCATACGCAGCAAAAGTCCATTTCTAGTGTTGTTGTCAAATGCATTTCAAACCAGCCTGGTTTTTCATTTACGTTTTGGAATAGAATTTGGAGAGGGCATTTGATCAAGTCAGACCTACGTTTTGAATTTGAATTACATTTTAAAGAAATTAGAACTACATTTTGAAAAATTTGAACTACGTTTTTAAAAATTAGAACTTCATTTTGTGAAACTAGATCTACATTTTGAGAAATTTACGCCTACGTTTTGATAAATTACACATTGAATTTTGCAATTACATTTTGATTTTAACATGGACTTTTGCTGCGTATGGCACCCCATACATAATAAACGACCCATTGGCCTATGTAACTATTATTCTAATTTACATTCACTTTTGGAAACTTAAGGCAAAGCATTTGTACACCCTGTTCAAACGTAGAATACAATAATTACGACATATATCACAGGGGATTTTTGAAATGGGACTTGTTCACTGAAATTGATTTTTGCACAATTTATGTCGCGCACTTTGTCTCGGTCAATATTAATTATTTCTTCAGGTTCTGTGTGTGACCAAGAAGTAAATGATTGCAATAGTGATCCTTGTCTTAATGGCGGAGAGTGTGTCGATGGGATGAACCAGTACACATGTAATTGCAGAGGAGGATTTACAGGTACACCATCATAGCATAAAAGCAAATTTGGATAATGATGAATAACAACAATAATGATGATGATGATGATGATGATGATGATGACGACGACGACGACGACGATGATGATGATGATGATGTAATTCTAAAAGCTTCTTTTTCTTCTTCTTCATTTTCTTTCTCCTTCTTCAGGGTGGAGGGCCAACTTTATAGTTGAAGGCTTCGGCCCGACGAATGTGGCTCATTCCCACAACTTCCATCTCCCTAAGAGTCCCGTCGTGTCATAAGACACTTCTACTCGTCTCGAAAGATGTAATGTGCTCTTTATTGTCCACAAAAGTCAAAAGTGTACGCTGGCCCTACGGTTTATTGTCCTTATCCGAGAAGAACCATAAGCGACCGCCGTTCGAACCAGCACCGATATTATGGCTGTAGGTAGCGGCGCCCTTGCCTTAAACGCTCGGCCATTCGACTCGCCATTTTCAGTTCATCTACATTGAAACAACCATGTGATAAAGGTTGTATATCTATCTCGTATTGTATACCGCTTTGTATGGTTTAGGCCTTATTACATTACTTATCGATCTTTCTTCTAGGAGTTAATTGTGAGATTGAAATAAATGAGTGCCTTAGTTCCCCCTGTGAAAGTGGTACCTGCGTCGATCGTGCTGGTTCGTTTGCCTGTTCATGTTTTCCAGGATACACAGGTGAATTAAGATATTAAGACAACAGTTCGAATAATGAAAAATAATAACACAAATTTACATGAGTAGCGATACTACCTCACAGCTATTAATAAAATAATAATCCTTGTATCTTTGATAATATGTCTTGTATTTTTATTGTTATGAATGTTTTTTCTTATACCAGGAACGATGTGTTCCATCAACATTAATGAATGCGCGAGTTCACCTTGTAAAAATGGGGGCTTGTGCTCTGATTTGATAAATAGCTTCTCCTGCGCCTGTCCTCCCGGATTCGAAGGTGAGTTGAAAGTGAATCAAAATGCCGGGTGTAAAAGTTTCCTGTGTTGGTAAACGACCTTGTCGAGAAACCTGCTTATTAAAAACAGTCTTAGATCCGGGTGACAAAAAGGAGGCCAAGTGGCAAAAGGCTGGTCGAATGGCATAAGATCGAGAATTCTAAATCTAAATCTCAACTTGATAATGCATAACTGTCATTTTGCGCCAAAATTATTAACGTGTTTTATTTATCTTTTATCAAGGAAAGGTATGTGATGAGGATGTAGACGAATGTGCCAAATACACTCCGTGTAGGAATGGAGCAACGTGCGCTGATAAAATCAATGCGTATGTTTGCACTTGTGCAGGAGGGTTTACTGGGTCTACTTGCGCTACCGAGACCAACGAGTGTTTGAGTGGCCCGTGTAGTAATAACGCAACGTGTATTGATAAGGTCAACGCGTATGCTTGCGAGTGTTTACCTGGATATCAAGGAGTTCATTGTGAAACTGACATAGACGAGTGTCTGCAGTCTGTGTGTGCTTTTGGCACATGTGTAGACGGAGTCAATTCGTTCGTGTGCGAATGTCAGGACGGTTATTCTGGAGAACTCTGCAACATAAATGATGACGATTGTAAAGATGGACCCTGTATGAATGGAGCCAACTGTGTCGATCTAGTATCAGGATTTAAATGTGAATGTGTCGATGGATTTATCGGTGAAATGTGTCAAATTGATGTTAACGAATGTGCTACTAAGCCATGTAAAAACAACGGTACATGCGTAGACGGTATTGCACAGTACATCTGTAAATGTGTTAAAGGATTCGAAGGAGCTGACTGCGGGATCGATGTTGACGAATGTCAGAGTTCGCCTTGTAAACATTCTGGCGATTGTCAAGATATGGTTGGGTCGTATGCGTGCACATGCGCGGACGGTTACAGCGGTTTTAATTGTGACGAGGATATTGACGAATGTGCTAGCTCACCATGTTTAAATAACGGCGCATGCACTGATGGAATCAATACGTACACGTGCACATGCGCCGCTGGCTATCAAGGCAAAATGTGTAACATTGAGATGGATGAATGCGCAAGCAACCCATGTAAAAACTTCGCAACTTGTACAGACGAAATTGCTCAATTCAGTTGCCAGTGTACTAATGGTTACTACGGAAGGTTATGTGAAAACGAAGAGGACGAATGCCTCAGTTACCCTTGTTTGAATAATGCAACATGCATCGATTTGGTTGCTAATTATTCTTGCGTCTGCATAGACGGATATTCAGGTGTGAACTGTGAAACAAATATTAATGAGTGCTTCTCCGACCCATGTGAAAATGGCGCTGAATGTATCGATTTTGTGAATCGTTACCAGTGCACATGTTCAGATGGGTTTAATGGTATAAACTGTGAGCTGAACATTAATGAGTGCGAGAGCACCCCTTGTCAGAATAATGGTACGTGCCATGATTCTGTTGCAAGTTACATCTGTAATTGTCAAAGTGGATTTGATGGGGTACAATGTTCTAATAACATTAATGAATGTATTAGTAACCCGTGTAGGAATAACGGAACTTGTGAAGATCGTATTAATGAGTACAAGTGTCAGTGTAAAGCTGGATTTTCTGGGGGAAATTGTGAGGTCGATATTGATGAATGTGAAAGCACACCATGTGAACACGATTCAACGTGCATCGATGAAATTGACTCGTATGTTTGCGAATGCGAACGCGGGTATACTGGCAAAATGTGCGAAGAAGATATCAATGAATGCATCAGCTTACCATGCCAAAATGGCGCTACCTGTAATAACTTAGTAAATATGTTTACGTGCTCATGTGCAGACGGCTACCAGGGTACGCAGTGTGAAACCAATATCAACGAGTGCCTGAGCAGTCCGTGTTTACATAACGGCACTTGTTCGAATCTGAAAAATGCGTTTAGTTGTCATTGTGCAAATGGATACGACGGGGACATATGTGAAAATGAGATAGACGAATGTTCTAGTTCGCCATGTCAAAATAACGGCGAGTGCGCAGACCGATTGGCCAGTTACGAATGCAATTGCGCGCTGGGGTATAGAGGGCGTCATTGTGAAATAAACATTAATGAATGTGACAGCGCCCCCTGTCAAAATAACTCAACATGTATGGATGCTGTAAATAAGTTTGAATGTTTATGTTCACCCGGTTTTACAGGGATTACATGTAACATTGAGATAGACGAATGTGAAATTCGACCATGCTCAAACAACGGCCTATGCACTGATTATGTAAATAGCTATTCTTGCGCATGTCGAGATGGTTTTGATGGTATAAATTGTGAGGTAAATGTAGACGAATGTGCCAGTCAGCCCTGTAATAATGGAGGGATATGCGTAGATGGAATTAATCGCTACGATTGTGACTGCGCAATATATTTTGCTGGCCCAACATGCTATATCGGTTTGTATTAATATTATGAGTGTATGTATATGTTAAACGTTCCTTTTATAGTAGTGATTACTAATTCCAGTATCAATCGTTTTGGGAATATGAGCATTATAC